CAAAATTAATTCTTCATAGACTGATATACTTTGACGTAAAGATGTAGCCAGTACCTGCATCACGTGTTCATTTGGAAACCTACTTGTTTTCAAAGCTTTGATTAAATTATGGACAATAAAGTTCCTAATTTTAATCAACAAACTTGGAAAGTGCACCAAATACACTCGTTTTAAGCAGTTAAGGGGTTAATTCTATATCCGTATAACCATCTGACCGGAGCGTGCAAATCAACAAAATCGGAATAAAACTTATTCCACTTCCTAGGTTTTGATGTAGTTACATATATACTGGACAAAATAAGTTAGGGATATTGGTATTTTTATGATTGATATTTGATCAATGTGTCAATGAATAACTAGATCATTATTCATAATTTCAAGATTTACATATATCCCTAACATTTTTGTCCAGTATATATTCATATCTATACTATTAACGAAAACAAACAAAATCCGATCGGTATATTCCATTAAAACTTCCAGGTTAAGAATTCTCCAGATTGTCGAATCATTTCTTCCCAGTTATGCCCCTTTCACTGTCCGGATTCTGGAAAGTCTGGATTACGGAATCCAGTCTGGAGAGGTTTCACTCTATGCTATGTACAAATATTACAATTGAAAATATATTGAGCAAAAGTGATCTTAAACATATTCATAACCTAAATGCACATCATATATGAAATATCATGGAATATATGTAATTATTAAATATCAAATATGAGCTGATCTAATGCCACCATCAAAGGAAGCAATGGGCAATGTCAATAGCATCAGTTGACAGTTGTTGAGCGTAGAATTATGTATGTTTTAATTGACGCTTGTTGGCATGCATTTCATCCCCTCGAGCTAAGTGAGTCGTTGACACCCACCATCTGACTCATGGTCCTAGAACACGGACGGGAATATTGGTCGGATTGCCACGCCGGGCGCAAACTTGTCGCTCGTGATACTAACAACGAAAAATGATTTAATTCTCAAAACGCTCGCTTTTAACTTGAAATTAAAATCTGTGCAACGAGATCCGATAGGCACTTTTTGAGCACTAATCAGCACACCGTGAGTCATATTGTGGCATATGAAAGCATCTCTAAAATTAATATTTCATGAAGTAAGATGCTTCAAAGCATCTCTTTACTCCGTCAATTAAAACCCGTCTGTAATCACAGTGAAACTATGGCAATGTTTGAGTTCCTGATACACGATAGAGCTTTGATGAGCGTATCAGATGTTAAGTTGGCTTTGGGATGCATTTATTTGAATTTATTAATTTCTTAAAATATTTTTTTGCACTTGTGTCAAACGAATTGCCTGCCATAATGTTTAACATGCTTTTGTAAGAAGTTTACTAATCTTTTAGTTGTTGACATCCTCGTGTAAGATCAATATTTTTAAGGGAAAAAGATTTTGTTTTATGTGTTACGGTGAACAGAAAGGCATCATCGTAATCCATCATCATTATTATAATCACTTTTGACACCGACATAATCATCATCATCTTTAGAAATCACCTTCGCCGCCGTCGTGAGCAACACCATCATCATCATCATCATCATCATCTCAATCAGTATATTGCATCACTATCGCCGGTATTAACATCATCACTATAATTATCATCACCATATCTCACCATCGTCGTAGTATTGATAAAAACACCATCGTCATCATCAACAACAATAATGACGTTTCACAAACATGTCTGCGAAGGTTTAAGTGTAACAACAAAAGACTACAAATACATCTATATAATATCCAATTTACCCAATACTCACTGTGAAATGAATTAAGCAACGCGGAAACACTTAGATACGTTCAGATTGGTATTTGGCCTTTATCAACCCTTACCTCTCCGCCCCCCACTCCCCTCTAATAGTTTCGCTTTGTCATGCCCCCTCCCTCCCCACCAAATACATACATGTATATCCTTTTCCCCTCCCCCAGTAATGAATGATCTAATGATCTGTCCCCAAACAATCTTCGAATGTCTATTTTAATTTGCAAAAATATAACTTAGTCATTGTTTTCATGCCCCTTCCTCTATATTAGTTGTGATATGTTTTGGCATCCCCAATCTCTCGCTGTGTCATTTGTTTTTTCATGAACCCCTCTCGCAATGTGCAGTGAAACAATGACTTATCAAGGGCAAAGTTTCCCCGGGCCTATGACATAATCCCTATGATTGACCACTGGTTGAGTGTGTGGCTATGTGCCGGGATATTGTCCTTGACGCTGCATGCGTCAGCTGTATCAGAAACTTCTAGTTTCCATGAGAAACGCACGACCTTCATTGTTCAAGGGCAGTGACGAGTCATGCCTGCCTTTGTTTTGTTTTGGCGGAAATACATCATTCCCCATTGTTGTTTGCTGGGCTTGTCGTCTGCTCGCGCCTTGTTTGTGCAAGCTTGCCTGTCAAAACTTTGTTTCAATAATCTAATATTTTACAAGGCCTCAAAGCTGGCTTAGGTAAAGCAATCCTATGTTTTAGCTGGTGACAGAATTGTTTCAAGTTTACCATGACGTCATGAAGTCGTAACCTCCAGCAGCGGTTACCCCCCTTTGCATGTTAAGTTTGATAATGACATCGGTAAGTGGTTCAGTGTGGTACGCAAGCTATGCGCGGACAATGCGAACTGGTATGCGTTGCGATTGTTTGTGTGTTAAATGTAAACATCCAGGTTTCTTGATAAAGTGACAAATTCTCGCGGAAAGTAAACATCGTGGCGGTTGGTAAAGATATAGAAACAGGATTTCCTTGATCTGCCCTGGGATTATCAAACAGTTGTTATTTCCTTGTATCGAAACAAAACCAAAAAAACAACAATGTCAGTGTTTTCGAAATACATAATAAACCGTTGTAAACGTGTTGCTATAATGCTGTTGTTTTCTTTGTTTGTTTGCTACTGTTTAATCACCTATATGACAGCAGCTTGTAAATAATCGTGTTCGGACCAAACAATCCAGTGGAGTGACGTCATGAGCATCGATCTGCGCAACTGCCATGCAATGACGTGTGTCAACCAAGTCAGCGAGCTTGACCACCCGATCCCGTTAGTCGCCTCTTACGAGAAGCATGGGTTACTGAAGACCAGTTCTAACCAGAATCTTAACAGGACTACAGACATGGACTGCTTCACTGGCTTTAAATAATAAGTGTTTTTATTACAAACTATTTAAATCACAAATAATTCAGGAAGATTACCTTTATAATATTGCTGTTAAAAAGTTCCGAACTGCTCTTTCACGTTTTAGATGTTCCTCTCATGATCTGTTTATTGAAACGGGACGTTATAAAAACATTAGTCGGGACCAAAGAATTTGTAATGTTTTGTAACTTAAGTTCAGTTGAAGATGAGTATCATTTTCTGCTTGTATGGCCTGTTTACTTACAACTTAGAGAAAGATATCAGAAACTCTATTACTTTACATACCCAAACGTATGGAATACTGTAAGGGACATTCTCGCGATCTCGCATTCTCGCGATCTCGACCTTTGGAACAAGCTAAAAATGCCAAAAGTGCGAGAATGCGAGATCGCGAGAACGCGATATTTGGCCAAAATCTCGCTTTCTCTCGATCTCGCACTTTTGGCAATATTGGCGAGAATGCGAGATCGCGAGAATGTCCCTTACAGCATTCCATACAAATGTAACTCAGTTTTATTTATTTTTCGGCAAGATTTAGCTATGTTCATTTATCATGCCTCCATGTACAGATTTAACATAATTACAAAATGAGTCTGCAATCTAGCTGGATGAGCTTTTACAATTCTATTTATATTTTTATACTATGTCTGATTGTATATTTTGTATTGTAAACTGTTTGCCCGTGGCCTTATTAAGTACTGAAATAAATATACAGACTACTGTGTCGTCAACGTGTCGATACCGTGCCGTTCCGTGTTGCATTGTATCTCCCCTGTTACGGTGGCGTTTCAGCCAGGTTGTTGAAATTACATCAAGAAATTACACGAAAGCATCCAGCTTGGATAAGTGACTCTCGCCATCATTCAGAGCTTGCAACCCAAAGGGAGAAACAAGCTTGAGATACCTGAGTCCAAGGGCCGCATGAACCTTAAGACCAACGCATAATTGCAACCTCCCTTCTCAGAGGGAGAAGTCAGTGAAAATGATGTATTCAGGCCTATTTGTGTGATTTTAAGTGGTTAAAATTTATTTTTTTCACATGAACCCACTTTGGCGTAAGATTTACCGTTTTGTCTTGAGAGCGTGACATAAAAGCGTGAGAGTTGCCAAACATGGTCATTTATCACGGTGTCCGGAAGTTTTGTTCATACTATCAACCACTGGTTTGTGATTATGCTGTCCATACATTTACCTGGATCCTGCCGTTATGTATCACCTCTACTTGGTGTTGATAATTGTATTATCTTTTTCTGTGTTTAGGACACCCGTGAAGATCCGGGTTAGAATTGATCTTCAGCAATCTCTAAACTTGGTCAGTTGCGGATAATTGACACACGTATCGTATCTCATTTCTGTGATTTTATTTACAGACCGCGACACCGCCGCCGTGGTGTAGTGGTAGAGCGTCCGCCCGGAGAGCGGAAGGTCGCGGGTTCGATCCCCGACCGCGTCATACCTTAAAATATGATACTTGTTGGTCTGCCTGGCGCTCGGCAAATGGGTACAACAAGGACTGGTCGGCTCGGAGTCAGTATAATGTGTCTGAGTGGGGTATTCATGCTTCACTGCGGCATGGTATTTCAGTGGGCTAGCACTATAAAACCAGCTTCAGTCTAGGCTATACAAGCAGCCGCACATACACATTGTCGTCATATGAGCTGAAATATTCCAAACGACGTAAAACCCAATTTCATCTCACCACCTCACCTCACAGACCGCAATGCAGCGTAAAACTAAACTCACGTATTCACTGTACACACATTTAACTGAATCCTGCCGTTATGCATCACCTCTGCTTTGTGTTGATATTTTCACTATCTTTTTTTTCTGTGATCAGGACAAATACTGAAGCATACTCACCAGAAAACATTTGAGCTTTGGTGCTTGAGGTTGCTTATGCCCCCTGTGACATACAAATTACCCCCTACAGAGCAGGAGGCGTGGTCAGCCCGGGGGCGTGGCAGCCCCTTTACATCAATCCAGGTGTCTGTGCTAGGGTCGTAGCGCTCAACAGAATCGGTTATACGGCCTTTCTTAGTCTCTCCGCCTGAAACAATCAATTCAATAATACAGCAGTCAATTCAACATGTACATTTAACTGCCAATCAAATAATTCCACAGCTTTGGAAAATAGATTCAGATGGAGGTTTCAAATCACAATAACCACCTGATTTAAAGTTCGCCACATTTTGGGAGCTATATTGATACGTATATTACGTCTTTCTCCACATAGTCAATAATAGTCAACTTATCAATTCGGCAGTTCAACAGTCAATTCAAAAATTCAACATTCAACAAAACCACATGGAATCGTACGCATAGCTTCTGAGTTTTCATAAAATTAGGAATCGTTAACTCATGTTATCGAGTTCCTTCCAAAACATCCCTACCGAAATACCTAAATCAAGTGAGTTACTAAGTGAACAACATGTCTGCAGTTCTTAGCTTAATGTATATGTACAACTTGATGAGTGGACCCGTGGATATCCGGGTTAGAATTGGTCTTCAGCAACCCATGCTTGTCCTAAAGAGTCGTCTAACGGGATCGGGTGGTCAGGCTCCTATCCCAGTTGTGTCGATCGATACTCATGTTGTTGATCACTGGATTGTCTGGTCCAGACTCGATTATTTACAGACCGCTGCCATGTAGCTTGAATATTGCTGAGTGCGGCGTTAAACAACAAACAAGAACAGATTGATGAGTTAATGAATATATTTATATTCCCCTTTCAGCAATATTCTAGCAACAACACGGAAGATGCTACCAGCATACGCTTAAGCCATCATCTCCCCTACCGCCCCTGAACGGTCAAACCCGTAATTGAACATGTCTACCATGGCTTTAAAAACTCGAATTCTGATTGCAGGTTTCAAATCACAATAACCGCTTTATCACAGCGGACGAAGGTGTAACATTTGCCACCTTGGCGGAACACAAATTTTGATCTGTGACTAATAATCGGGATGAACAATGAATTCTAGGCCATGGTTATCGAATCCTGACACACCTACCCCAGGCAACTACGCACTGTGGTGCCTTTGACCAATTAGGATGCGCGTGTTTGAATGACGTCATGTTGAATGAGTGAGTGAGTATGGTTATACGCAGTGTTTCGAAATATTCCAGCAATATCACAGCGGAGGACACCAGAAATTGGCTTCACACATTGTACCCATGTGGGGAATCGAACCCTGACCTTCGGCGTTACGAGCGAACGCTTTTACCATTAGGCTACCTACCCCGCCGCCCCGAACTGGCTATGATGTATCCGACGGAGGAAAAGGGTTTCTTGAGACTATTGAAAAGAAGCTGTCTACCCCAAAATGTACATTGTTACAAGATGCTTTCCTTCTTTTTTACACAGTCATGTTCACTGATTAATTCTTTTTAAAAAAATTGTTTTTTTGTACCAAGTCACAAGATCACAGTGAGCAACTGGCTGAAAAGGGTTTTATTAAATATGAGAGTGAGTAATTGAGTGGATACGATTGTATTGAATTTGGTAGTGAGCGATTCAGGAATTTGGGTGTTGTTTTGAATATGGCGCTAAGCGACTGAGTGAATAGTGTTTTTATGCTGATCCAATGAATGGATACCCTTGAGAGAATTCCGAGGTAAAATCTGTTCCAAGCTCCATGTCCGTGTCGTATGATCCGATTACAATGGGGAATGGACGGTTACGATTGGTTACCTGTCTGTTGGCAGGTCGTCATACCCTAACGGCGCCAGTCATTGCTAATGTTCGGCGATTAGTTTGATTTTTTTTCTATTCTATTTCTATAACTCCGGTATTCAAAGGCAGCCATGATTAAATATTGTTATCTGCATTAACTGCTCTAGTGCAAGTATAATGTATATATGACATGGTCACTATTTGGAGATTGTGTGTTTCGTTTATTTGTTAACAGTGTTCACAGCAATATTATCACTACATGCATATAGTAATCGTTTTCTGGGTCAGACAAACCTGTGATCGATATCATGAGTGATTAAACCTTTAAACCGCTTTTAACGATATTCCAGCGATATCACGATGGGGGACATCAGAAATGGGATTCACACATTGCACCCATGTGGGGAATCGAACCCGAATCTTCAGCGTGACGAGTCAACGCTTTAACCACTAGGCTACCATATCTATTAAGCTGAGGGGCGGTGGGGTAACCCAGTGGTTAAAACGTTCGCACCTCACGCCGAAGACCCGGGTTCGATTCCCCACATGTATACAATGTGTTAAGCCCATTTCTGGTGTCCCCCGCTGTGACATTGCTGGAATATTGCTAAAAGCGGCGTAAAACTAAACTCACTCACTAGCTGAACTTCCTTAAAACTCGGGTCGGCCAGTGATTGGATAAAATACATATAAAATCCATCTACGTAAGTTAAATTTCACTATTGGCATCATCAAAGAACTTCTCAGAGGCCGAAAAAGGATTTACGATTGTAATCAAATACCTAATCCTATTTCTTATCCAGTTTCTAGTTAATTTTTAGCCGCTTTGACGTATGAACTTCTCTTTCAAGCCTGCGTATGAGTCATGCAGTCTCACAGGGATATAGGTGAAATCCATATTTATAGAAAGCAGTGTTGCCGTTACAATAGAATTAGAAAATGTATCAAGTAAATCTATATTTAGTCTTTATGCTGCATATTTAATCCAGCTATTCATCGCCCACGTGGTGATGACAGTTGAGTCGACACGTGATGAGACGTCGTGAGACTTGTTGAAAGGTGGAGGACGTTGTCAAAAACCGGGGTAAGATGGTGAGACGTCAAAAACTGGGGTAAGATGGTGAGACGTTGTGAGACTTGTTGTAAGATGATGAGACGTTGTGAGACTTGGGGTAAGATGGTGAGACGTTGTCAAAAATTGGGGTAAGATGGTGAGACGTCAAAAACTGGGGTATGATGGTGAGACGTTGTGAGACTTGTTGTAAGAGGGAGAAAACTGGGGTAATATGGTGAGACGTTGTGAGACTTGTTGTAAGATGGTGAGACGTTGTCAAAAACTGGGGTAAGATGGTGAGACGTCAAAAACTGGGGTATGATGGTGAGACGTTGTGAGACTTGTTGTAAGATGGTGAGACGTTGTCAAAAACTGGGGTAAGATGGTGAGACGTCAAAAACTGGGGTAAGATGGTGAGACGTTGTCAAAAACTGGGGTAAGATGGTGAGACGTTGTCAAAAACTGGGGTAAGATGGTGAGACGTTGTGAGACTTGTTTTAAGATGGTGAGACGTTGTCAAAATGGTGAGACGTTGTCAAAAACTGGGGTAAGATGGTGAGACGTTGTCAAAAACCGGGATAAGCTGGTGAGACGTCAAAAACCGGGATAAGATGGTGAGACGTTGTCAAAAACTGGGGTAACATGGTGAGACGTGGTAAAACACTTGTGGTACGATGGTAAAAGTTGGTCATAAACGTGTGGTAAGATAGTGAGACGTGATCAAACATATGTGGCAAGATGGTGAGACATGGTAAAAAGTATTTGGTAAGATGTATGGCGATACATGATCAAATACATGTGGCAATATGGTTAGATATGGTTAAAACATGAGATGGTGAGACATCTGGTGATACAAAGTTAATAACATCTGGCGTTATGTGTGGTGTGACGTGAGACTTGATAAAAAAATTGTGGTAAGGTGTGTGGTTAGACATGTGGTGAGACGTGGTTAGACATGTGGTGAGACGTGGTTAGACATGTGGTGAGACGTGGTTAGACATGCGGTGAGACGTGGTTAGACATGTGGTGAGACGTGGTTAGACATGCGGTGATACGTGGTTAGACATGCGGAGGGACGTGGTTAAGACATGCGGGGGGCGTGGTTAAGACATGTGGTGAGACGTGGTTTAGACATGCGGTGAGACGTGGTTTAGACATGCGGTGAGACGTGGTTGGCGACATGCGGTGAGACGTGGTTAGACATGCGGTGAGACGTGGTTAAGACATGCGGTGAGACGTGGTTAGACATGCGGTGAGACGTGGTTAAGACATGCGGTGAGACGTGGTTATTAGACATGCGGAGGGACGTGGTTAAGACATGCGGAGGGACGTGGTTAAGACATGCGGAGGGACGTGGTTAAGACATGCGGTGAGACGTGGTTTGAGACATGCGATGAGACGTGGTTGAGACATGCGGTGAGACGTGGTTGAGACATGCGGTGAGACGTGGTTAAGACATGCGGTGAGACGTGGTTAAGACATGCGGTGAGACGTGGTTAAGACATGCGGTGAGACGTGGTTAAGGCATGCGGTGAGACGTGGTTGAGACATTTGGTGAGAATGATAAGAGGTCATAAACGCGATGGGACCCTGAGACGTAGTCAAAACATATGGTGAGATACACATACATGTGCAGTTCACCTGATACTTAAATGAATTAACGAAACTCAAACTGCATGATTTATGTAATTACATTTATACAGATGTTTTCAACAATATTAATAAACCTCTGACAAACCATTTCTAAACTAATTACCATTAATGAAGATGATGAGGAGCATTTTCGTTATTACAACAATAATTAAAACGTACAGCATCATCATATCTGTATGATGACGTCACCGTTTCCGACGATGACATCATACACACTCCACCACTGACTCCTCCCCGTCAATTCACAGAGATCAAATAAAATCAAATCAGGGTCCTCATATCAGTAGCTAATCCTAAATTTTCCAGCAAATCAAAAACGGCGTGAAAATTTGCTGAAAGGTCCTTTGGTTTTCTTAGCGTTCCTTTGAAAAATGGGCACCTCTGGAGGCAGTTGAGCAGAAAAACCCAATCAGATCAGCTTCCCCGACAGATTCCCGCTAACACTCAAATGAAGCGTCACAAGATAGCTTATGCCCCACGAAATTCCTACACATCCTCATCTCTCGGAGGAAATTAAAGTCTAAAAGGAATTTCCCCGAGTGAAATGTTGTGAGTGGTCGTCAATGCACTAAGAAGTGATTCAGGGTTTAACGCGGCACAACGTTTTCCATAAATTGAATGTTGAGGACAATATTCATAAATTATGCCCCTAAACATCTGCCGTCATCCCCCGGGGAACATTAACCTTAGATGGGGGCAAACGGGTTTCCGGGCAGCGACGGCGAGCCCGGCAAACAGTCACTGATAGAGGATCACCAGCAAGCAAATATTATTAGATCTCGTTCGTAAAGTAATTATTGTCCATTGATTGTAGAAATGTAGAACTAATTACAAATCAAAATCATCATTTATCTAAGGAATCTTCAAATGGTGTCTGGAAAATGAAAAATCCGTATTTATGAATATACGTACATGGGTACGTGCGTGCGAGCGTGCGTGCATGCGCGCGTGCGTGCGTGCGTGCGTGCGTGCATGTATGAAATCCACAAGTTATATACAACGTTTTACAAAACTTACTTAATCCTATGGGACTTCACTACACATGCTATCTTCTCGAACAGGTTGTTTTTTTTCTAAACGGATTAACCTCTGTCTTAATCAACTTCTTTTACTTGCAAAGAACGTCGTCATATGAGCGAAATATTCTCAAGCACGACGTTAAACCCAATTTCACCTCACCTCACTTGCAAAGACTTTACTATTAACGTTCTGACTGCTGTGTGATAAAATTCAGTATATCAACGCGACTCAACTGGTTTGAAATTAGACATAGCTTCATTATAAATGATAGCTGGCGTAAAAAATAATAACTTCCATGCTGAAACTATTAAGGATGTAGCTTCAATGGAGTCTCACTGTCACTATCAAAAGCAACAGGTAGGAGGGGTCGTCTCAAAAGCAAAACCTGGACGGGTGTCGCAGACGATCGTTGGGGTAGGGCTTGGGGATAGAGATATCAGCTAAGATAAGATAATCCTTTAGGGTAATTATACTGGGGAAGTACACGGCATGTCATAACAATTTACAAATAATATCCAGTCCTGTCGATCTTCGCGATCGGGTGGTCATGCCACCTAATACATTCAATGCGATGCGTTTCTATGGTTATCAGGTATCATACTCTTTTACATATCTCAACATAAACTTCATGAAAGAAAGACACGTAAGATGTTAATCAATACATGAGGCATACATTTTTAGTCAACACACATGAAAAAGCACAAAATAACTTTGAGATGACCGCTTGTGCCTGTAGGCAGCACGTGCATTTCATGCCAGGTGAGTCGACGGTCCGTCGTCATACCTGGCTGAGCGACCAAATTGCCATCTATAGTCTGATCTATTGTTTTCAGCAGCTATTCGTATTTTTTCTAAGTTTTGCCCGATTTTACGAGTAAATATGTTTTTCTGGATATCCTATTACGCATCCCACTGAATGCCCAGTTAGGCCGAAGTGGGTTATTTCGACATTTGCTATTTGCAGTTGTGTAAATTTTAGGGATACAGAATAATTAACAGCCTAAAAACAGGGTTTTTTCTATTTCCGACAGTACTTTAGATGTTAATCAATATATGAGACATATTCAACACACAAGAAAACGCATAGAATATCTTTGAGATGACCCCTTGTGCCTGTAGGCAGCACGTGCATTTCATGTTTGGTGTGTCGAGGGTCCGTTTTCATGCATGTCTGAGCCACCTAATTGTCACCTATAGTCTGATCTATTGTTTTGAGCAGCTATTCGTATCCTTTTTAAGTTTTGCCCGATTTCACGAGTAAACATGCTTTTCTGGATATCCAATTACGCATCCCACTGAACGCCCAGTTAGGCCGGTGTGGGTTATTACGACATATGCTATTTGCAATTGTGTAAATTTTAGGGATACAGAGTAACAGCAAAAAAAACCTATTTTGTTCTATTTCCGACAGTACTTCAGGAACACTCCGAACAGGAATATGCATTGTGCTAACAGGTCAAAATTCGTAGTCAGGGCGAAAGTTTCATCGGCCCAGGGCCCACGTGACATGGTTTGGGAAGTGGATGCAACATCCAATTGCTGTACCTCAGACAATAATGCCTTCCCAAGTGACATAATGTACATCCTCCGGTAGTTTGTGCAACATAAAAACATCCTTACCTACAACGTAAACATGGCTGCCAACCACTTCCGCCGAGAAGCGACACCTAGGGCTCTTCATGGGAGATAACTTTTCACAGACGTTGGTGGAGGGGTTGAACCTACTGACATCAGCTACATGCTTGCCGGTCTCCCAGTCTTTACCCCCCAGGATGTAAATGCAGTTGTCGAGGACGACGACGCGGTAGCTGCAGATGCCTTTGACGGCGTTCATAGTGAAGACGTTCATCTTAGGAAAGATTTGAGACGGATGACGAGGATCGACCATGAAGTAATTGACCTTGGGACTTCCGGAAGCTTTATCAAACAGGAAGAGGAAGTCATAGGCCTGCGAGATTTCAGAAGGCGGCTCGTCTTTTACCTCGAAGTCCTTCATGGTGAGAGCGAAGGAAACTGGCTGTCTATTGCTTTCTGAAATTAATACGGACATATTTTTAAACGCATGTATATCTGGAATTTTCAGGAAAATATGCTTTTGACAATAGGGACTGCTAATGTTCTTGAACGCCATACCTTTACCCCAAAGGACTTTGATGTGTGGTAACGATTTAGACAGAATTAAGACAGAAATATATACCGCACCATCTTCTTGCAAAGCAGCCCCATTATGCATATATATCTTTGTTACAAACCAATAATGAAAATATTCTTGCTCAATTGTCCTTATATATAAAATATGCATTAGCTAAAAGAGATCTTCTTATAAAGCGAATTGTATACCCTTAAATATATATGTAAATATCCAGAATATTCCTTTATCACTGTAACTCTCATGTATATGGGCCGGAGGCCTTTCATACAATAAACATCTTTTGACTTTGACTTTGACAACACATGTTGGAACAGTGAACTCGCTGAAATTGACTGTTCAGGTGTTCATAAACTTAAACTTCAAAACACTTGTTAATTCACGAAATGGTGTTCTCCAAAGTCCTTGATTTTATTAATTTTTCCAACTAAATCACGGCGGTCTGTAAACAATCTAGTCTGGAGAAGACAATCCAGTGATCAACAGTATGAGCATCGATCTACGCAGATGGGATATGACGACATGTGTCTAGCAAGTCAGTGAGCCTAACCACCGATCCCGTTAGGGGCCTCTTACGACAAGCATGGGTTACTGAAGATCAATTCTAACCCAGGTCTTCACGGGACCTTTGGCGGAACACAAGAACGCAGATCTGCAAATGATAAATCCAGGAACATAACCATCAATCTTATGTTTGAACTCTGTATTTCTGTCAGACAGGGTTTTCAACTCTGCTCTCGTCTTTTTCAAACAATCATTATAATTGCGTTTCATCTGTTTTTTATCTGTCAGCTATAGCTATTAGCGTTGTGGCAATAACATTTGAACTCCTGAATTTCATCATCCCCGTGTTATATTTTCATTATTTATTTTCATCATTTTTATCAATTTTAATTAAAGTGCCAAATATTATTTTAAAAAACAAGAAAACGGCATGACTCATGCAGCACTACAACAGATGGCCCCCTTTGAACGCGCATGAAATAATTGCAATTTACTTTACCGAATTTTGCACCTAACATTCACGTTTTATCAAAGTCATCCGCCATTACCCGTGGTAAAGAGACAATTGTTCCAGGAGAGAAAAATCGATAGCGATGAATATGACGAACTTTGTCAACTGTTGCGGCTTACGGATGCATGCGCTCGGCGTGCGTTTGGGAGGTACCCCCACCCCTTTTCTTCCCCGTGTCCACAGCATCCCACAGACTAATTGCCTAGGTGTAGCCACCTCTTGTATTCATTATTGATGGTTTAAGAAAAGCGAAGCTTGTGCAATTAACTTATGAGTCATCTGGTAACAAAGAATTGCCTCCCCGAGTCGCTGTCAGGCTTTCTACGGGACTATGCTAAAACAAACGAAATCAGGTGAAAAAAATGAAGGTCTTTGTTTGTTGTTTGACAATTCAGGTATGGATACGTGTAGCAGAAAGATTTTTGTTTGAGAAACTCCGTGACAAAGATTAAAACAGGATGGCGGCGAGATAGGGTTATGTTTTGTCAGAAAGCAGTCCACGTGTTTGAGAAAGTGTTTTAACGAACGCTGGTTTGATAATAACGGTGAATTGGGATAAATCTGGATTGGTTTATTATCAGAGGATTTAATTACAGGTAGAGATAATGCAAGTTATGATGGAAATATGACTCATATGCAGGTAATCTTGGCAGCAGCCGAGGCAATATCACAATGGAGTTCTACGTGAACATTTTTTCTTCGGTTTCACTTTTCAATTAAATATTCTTTTCAAACTGTTTGTTACAGCATTCGATGACGCACTGAGGATTGTAGATGTTTGACAGGACGTGTTGACGGATTGCCTACTAACTGGCAGTGACATTTATACACCGTGTTATACCTTTATTGATGTGTGATTTTCTTGATTGATTATCAGTAGTACAGGTATATATGTTTTACTATTATTTCATTTACCATCATCATTTAATTCTCATCCTTGATAATAAAAACGTGTGCTATTTCGTTTTGAAGGAGGGGGGGGGGGGGATATCATACTTTCGAAAGCAGATTGGGGCTGTGATGTGTCTGTACAATTTATTGTCATTATCATCGATATTATATTATCAATGTACATATCGCTTTTTTCCTTTGTATGATAACTGTCATTTATGTGTTAAAAGGTTGTACACGTGTCTTTCAGTTTCTGTTATTTGCAGGTTGATGATGAATACAAGGGTGACACTAGTACTGACGTTGTTGTTGTTGTTGTTGCTGCTGCTGCTGATGATGATGATGAGGAGGAGGAGGACGATGATGATAATTATGATAATATTACCATGATCATGATGAAGATGATCACTAATCGCCATGATTAATCGTGTGCATTCCCCAGCGTTCCAGAGCAACAAACCATCCATTTCGATATGCCTGTTATATACAGCACAGACCGTTAAAATGCTTTCAATTTCAACTGCTCCAAAGCTTTTACATAAATCATCGACTTTAAAGCATGTAAATTGTTCGGTAATTAGCAAACTTGCATGCACATGCATTAGAAATAAACAAGACTACAGATGTAAATCCCGACTTCACAAAGACGTCATTAGCCTAGATTTAACACCATTAGTATACATAAGTGATGTACTTAAGCTCGATGAGTCATTGTCTCCCCTTCCTACTCCCCAACCTTCCGTCTTTCCTCATGCCCTTCAGCGTCGACCTCCCTGATATGTACAAGAGTCAATGTTTGTTGACACGAACTGATAAACAAGGATACGTTCAAGGAAAGGGCAGTCGCGCAAATAGGTAAGGTAAACAGTCTGGGTCGAAGCAACGTAACCACCAACCAATCAGAGACCAGTAATCGGGTTTTCCCCTTGCCGCTGTGTGTCTATAAATAGCGTCAGCTTGAAGATGATGTCATCCATGCCCCGATAATGAGTTTGAGGCTGACATTTTGTCAACAAACAAGTAAGCTCGTGCTTGTGACTTGCATTTGGGAGCACATGACTATTGACAAGTAGTACAGAGACACGAAAAAGATATACGTCTGTTGATAGTCACGTTTAGTACCTACACGACACGCAGGTTACTATAGCAACCGTTTGTACAACAGTTTCTGTGTGATTCAGCTGTTTGCCTTTTGGTATGTGCAAACTGACAGTTGCACTGCACTGTTTTGCTATGACGCTGAAATATATACTTTTTAGTTACTGGACACGGAACAAAGCTAATGGATCAGTACCAAATGAAATGTATTATATGCATATGCGTAAAGGATTTAAACCGTCTCGTACCTCGGTTTATGCAGTATTGTTGGTGCAAGTCAGCGTAATAGATTTTGACAACCAATGAATACAGATGTCATCGCTGGGCTGTCAAGGACCTTGCTTCAATCGATGCATTAAGAAGCGACACACCAAAGGAACCAAACTGGGAGGCTGGCTTAACACTGAGCAGAGACAGATACCATACACGATTTTTGAAATAACACTTTTGAACATCAACACTTTAATAATACACCCGGAGCCATGATTCTCCGGGGTGCAAGGCTTGTTAATATCACTGACACGCTGATGGTGTAATTGACAACGCGTGTAAATTGCAGGTGAAACGTTTACATGCGTCATTTACAGATAAGGTTTGTAGATTTACTAAACTATTCGTCATTTGGTGTGAAAAACACCTGGGGAGCAAGGGCATTTGGCGAAGGTGGGACTACGTCATTCTAACCAGTCCACACTGGTTCAGACTGACTGCTCCTCGCCACAATCAGGCCAGATCAGGTTCACAGATTGTCAACACAGTGTTTACGCAGAGCGTACCCCTCATAAAATGCGCTGCGGTTCTTTTATCGTTATAAATCGTTTTCCAAAACTGTTTAAACTTGTAAAAGCAATGCAGATATTTATTTGCAAAACAAACCTCCAACCTGTTGTTTCATACTGAGATTAATCTACAAATGATTGCATTTTACTACCAATAAAATAAATTTGTATGCTTTTTATTTGCATGTCAAATCAGCCTCTAAATTTAGCATATCACATCATTTTGCAATAAATCGATTTAGCATGATTTTCTGTGTCATTGCCCGTGGGAACGGCATGGGGCTTTCAAACCATACAAAACACACGCTGCGAAAAATTGCATATAAAGCCACTCTTCAAATATGATTGGTTGTTTATAGGCTGTACGTAGCAGTTAATTGGGTTATAAATCTTGGAATTGCCATCTGTTTGCGTTATGGAAAATTATAATCATAATAAGGCACGTACGCGAGAGGGTGACGTCGTTTTCTATACTTAGATTATTTATCGATTAGTGAGCTCGGTCTGTGTTTTAGCTAGTGCGGGAGTTCTACTTGATTAGGCAGGCTAGAGAGGGAGGGAGGGAATTGAAGTCAACGACAATCACTCATCTCATACACGAGTATTTAGAATAATTGTATTTGATTATTGTGATATGGAAACTCCGCGGTATAACGAGAGAGATGTATGTGTTGTTGTGCTATGGGGAATGTTGACATACACGTCTTGAAACCACTAAAGAAATTTCCAGGGACTGGTTTTCATGTTGGGCAACACTGTTGAATAATAAGTTGATCAAGGTCGTATGCTTGTTAAAGGGAAAAAGCATTAACAGCTGTACATCTTGGTAGTGTTATGCGTTTAACAGATGCACGTGTTGGTGGCGGTATGTTTGTTGCAGAGGGAATGCGTTTAACAGCTGCATCTGAGGTGGTGTTATGCTTGTTACAGAGGGAATGCGTTGGTTGTGGTATGCTTGTTACAGTGGGAAAGCATTTAACCGCTGCACATGACGTTCTGTTATGCTTGTTACAGAGGGAATGCGTTGGTTGTGGTATGCTTGTTACAGTGGGAAAGCATTTAACCGCTGCACATGACGTTCTGTTATGCTTGTTACAGAGGGAATGCGTTGGTTGTGG